AAATCCAGTGATCCCATTTAAATGAAGATATTACCATAAGATTTGTGAAGTCGGAACAAATTTAATGGGAGTATTTTTATTTAAATTGGATTTTTGAGATATTGAAACTCAAAGCAGCAGATTTGTTTTTGGGATTTCCGATAATATATTGTAGGGGTGTGTATATATTGACAAGAATAATGAAAGTTTATATTTAGATAATAAAAGTTTATCTATAGCGAAGTAGGGAGCAGTATAAGACATCCAATTTTTAAATGGCGAAATTTTACAATGTTATAAAACTTCATGATATTTTGCATGATATAATACAGATAATGCTACTTAATAGATGGCTAATTTATAAAATACATAGTGGTTCTCTTTATAGTGTACCTCCTTTATAATGGAGACCCGTGATATAGTGGATAATATCCAAAACTATCTTTAATAAAATAGTAAATTTACTAATAAACTCTCGATATAGTGGATTTTTAAAAATTTTTTACTATTATATTTTTTTGATACTAATACAATATAAAGAGAGTTACTGTGTATATCAGAAATATGAAATAATAAAATTATTTTGATCAAATTATAATCTAGTCAAATATTATCATTTGTTGTTTTAATATTTTTTTTTATAAATTATAAAGCTTGATAAAAAAATGGATATTTATTTTGTCAGACTGTAATATTTATGATGTTTAGATTTGGATAAATTTATGTTCTTTTATAAATGTTATATTTAATTACCGTATTCACCCGAAATAAGCATGTCATTTTTTAACTCCAAAATAGTGGTGATGCTTATTTCTAGACAGTTTCTTGAATATCTACCAGATTTATCCGGAATAAGAATGTGTGTGATGCTTATTCATAAATTAGTGCAATGCATATATAAGGAAGATTTGTTCGCTTCTCGCTCAAATGAAGTCTCACCCTTTAACTACATGTATAGATGTTTAGATAAAGAATAAGATACTAAACACTTTGACGAAAAAGTTCAAAACTAAAAAAATATGATCGTTACTATTGCGCAAAAGTTTGTTTTTGTTAAACTAATATATAAAATAATGTATGTATAAAAATTGATAATCTTGTTTGAACACATATTCGATAAAAATATATTTCTAGAGAATTATTCTATTGACCTTAAATTTTATTTTGTCAAGTAATAATAAGAAATTTTGAATAACATAATAGAATACTACTGGAAATGCATATATAATAATATAATGTCCCATGTAATAACGGATCAGTTTGCTAATTTATTAACAAAATAACAATAACAATAATTCTATTCTGACGCATTATTCCGGATCGGGATCTGTTATAATTTTTGGAGAATTAAAGGTTTAATGATTTTAATTAACCATAATCAATATATTTTTTGTCTTATTAAAAATAATTTAAGCTTTAATCGTTCTTTAAGATACAGTATCATCATTCTTAATCCTTCATTTAATAATTTTGGTAATATTCTTAATATTTGATTAAACGTGTTAGTTATCGCGTTTATATTAATTCTTCTTTGTCCTTATTCAGAACATCGTAAAACAAATCCGCAATGAAGAAGTTAACAAAAGGTGAGAAAACTAGGATAAACATAAAATAAGGACATATGATTGAGATAATAACGCGGAAGTAGGCGAAGAAACGGCAAGCATAAAATCTATATTGAAAATTCGTTACAAAAGAAATTCGGTCGAGCCTTGAAATCGTAAAGCCATGAGCTCCTTCCACTCGATTTACTCTGTGGCTTCAATTATATTTTTCCAATTCGGCAATATCAGGCTTTAATTGATGATTATCTATAATAATTTTTTGTAATTTTTCATTTCATAATGTAAATTGTAAATTCAATGAAATGACCAAATATCTTCAGCCGGTCGCTTAATTTTTTCAATCATAGTTTTAGTTGTTTCTTTCTAATTTTTCGTTATTGTACTGCTGAAAGCAAATAGACGGAATTTGCCACTAAACAACTAGTAAATATGCATAAAACATCAAATAATGAATATTTTAGTTGTTTAAGTAGAAGTTATTACAGTCAAACTTGGTTATATTTCCATTGGTTTATATCCCTTTCTATCTAAAACTTCATTTATATACCACATCTGAGCGGAAACAGATTTCCTTTTTTATATGCGTGTATATTCAGATATATTTCTTTTTCAGTTATCCCAAATAATTTGAAAAACATATAGGAATTAAAAAATTCGCAATATAACTCAGTTATGATTGTAATATATAATTAAAATACTGTATTTTCAGCCTAATACTAACGCAAAGAATGTTTTGTTTAACTTGATTGTAGGGATTAATTTGTATGTGGGCAGCAAACGCTCCAATCCATATTGTCTCGAAAACAGAGCAGAAAAAGTTCATACAAATCAGAAAACGGTGACCTTATAGATATATTTTATTTTAACGTTAAATTCTATTCCTACATGTATATTAAATAATATTTTCCATTTGAGTATTATAGTTACGAAATTTATATTTTAAATACAAATGAACCTTGATATAAAAAAGTCGTCAAAATCTTTATTATTTAGAGGATTCTTAAATACTCATAATGGGAGGATTTTAGATAAACTGATTTAAATCATTCTTTTATATTGAGATTCTTATATCGAGAGTCATAAGCTCATAATTACTGAATATAATCGCATTAGAAAATAACGAAAATAAAATACCTTCATTATTCTGTCACATGCACCAAAGATTTACAGGAAATTAATCTGTAAAAAATTATAAAAAATATGAATAATTTGTCATACTAACGTAACGTTGTCTTTTATATGTTTTATTCATAAGTAGGATAAACAGACTTTTTGCAAATTTTTTATGTATATAGTTAACTTTTTTAATTAGTAGTCTTTTTAGAATTATTTGCAGATGCTTACAGGCACCCATTTCTTATAAGAATTATAAATTAAACTTAAATATTTATTTAAACATAATAGTATTTTTTTTATTCACGAATAACAAGTGCTTGAATTATTTGTTATTATGCTTAGACACTGAAAAATATCTTTTGATATAGATTGTATTCAAAATCATAATTAACAGTCAAAGCTCTCTATAACATTGGATCGGCTAGGCTCAAAAGAATCGTTTTGCATGTAGTGAGTTTTAAATAGAAAACATAAAAAAATGCTTTTACTATAGTCATGGGATTTTTAAAAATTCGTAATAGCCAAATCTCGCTGTATCGGTATAAAGGGAATCGAGCTTTGACTGTAATTGAATATCAAGTGGTTTAGGTAAAATGGTTAATTTATTTTATACATGTAATTTAATTGGCACAATAAAAATGAATTTCCATCTTATCTGGTGTGGTTGCAATTTAAATGATAAATTTATCGTTATGATTTGTTATTAAGTGCTGTTCAGTAATTCTTCGAGCGTATCTGTTACAGGTAAAAAGTACATGCACATTAATGTTTTGTATTGGAAACTTTAGGGAGGGTTCATGCAAAAACATACTCAAATCAATAGAATAATAATACACTTTAACCGAGTTGACTTTGTATGAATCGAATTTTTTGAAAGTATTTGATAGATCATAAAATAGGAAAGTCTAATACAACTTTCAAAGCATTTTTTTGTCACATTTTTTTATTTTTAATAGTTTAATCCTTTTGAGCTCTTTTTTACTTTCAACATGATTATATTAGTTTACATATTTGAAAGCAAAATACGAAGAAAGCATAATAAGATATTATTTATTATTGAGCTTACTGAAATTATATAATAAAACTTTTAGGCTCCAGTGAATGAGACAATAAAGATTATATCTTATAACTTATTCAATCGTATATATTATAAAAAGCAATTTTAATAAAGGTAATAAGGTCATGTATAGAAATAATTATTGTCTTATTTTTGTAGAGACTGTTTTTCCAACATTACATTATTATTACATGTATGCAGAGCGCTGTGCAAATTTATAACTTGATGAAAATTAGTAACTCGTAGATGTATTTTTATTGAATCGGAAATGGGATTACATGTGCACCAAAATTTTCGTTGCTTTATAAGTACGTATATTTGATTGATTTTATTAAATTATAATTAGACAAATAATAAATAATGATAAGTTTTAATTCTATATTAAACTAGCTAAATAAAGGCACTTTTAAAAGAGTAGGGCGTGGACTAGCTACATCGAGAGGATCCCGTGATCCGACGGATGGTAAGTTTGAAGTATTTAAATTCGTTAATGGGGGAGTTAATAAAACTGGAGTATTTGACAATTGTTTTAGCTCAATTGCCATGCTAGAATGATTTTGTGATGTAGATGCAATTGATTTTTGTACGAACAATTGATTTTTATCATTTTTTCGATATTTTCGATAATAAAAGAATCCGAGCCCGAGAAGTACAATGCCTAAAAATCCTCCTATTATGCCTCCAACTATTGACTTATTTTTCTTTCCGTCAGATTTTGGTGTGGTAGTATTTGATGTGCTAGTTGTTGGTGTGCTAGTTGTTGGTGTGCTAGTTATTGATTGAACCCATGTCATAGAAGCCTCATTACTGACATCAAGAATAGCTAATAGTGGCTGTTTACTGGCTCTTATAGCTTTCCTTGTTAATTTAGTGTTTGTAGTAATATCATCAAATTTACCTACATAATATTAATAAAATTTAATATAACTTTTTTGAATCAAAACACAATTTCTTCAATATCTCACCATAAACAACAATCATATAATTATTGTAGATTGTTGCTGTATGCCAATAGGGTATCTGTTGTGTATCTCGATACGGTGACGATGAAATAATTGGAAATTGCCAAGTGAAGGTTTCACCAGTTCGAGCGCCCAAATTTTGAATGTTCAATAATGCAACAGCATTATTATTGCTCATTGGAATTGGATCGGAATAATCGGAATATCCGCCATATATCAAAATACGATTGTCGTTTACTTTAATCAATACACATGATCAAAAATAATTAGAAAAAATTTAAAATAAATCAGTTTTAAATTAAAATGACCTAACGTTTTACAGCAGTGTGACCACCACGTTTTGGCACCGGACCGGTGGCGTTTGCAGCCTAAATGAAAATTGAAAAATAGAGTTTAAATCTTTAAATTTCTTAAAAATTTCATATTGCAAAATAATGATGCTTTACAATTATTTTTCTCCATTTCATTGTATCTGTCTGAAATATCCCAATCTTTTAATAGATAAAGTAATTAGCAAATTTTTGTCAATTAAATTTTCGAGAAAAAAAACAAAATTCATCAGTTACTTCTTCCATTCCAATGAAGTCATTGGTTGCTCGAAGACCACCAATATATATAATATTATTGCCTATTACTGTCGCTGTATAGTCAAATCGGTTTGACGTTTGATTTGAAACCTTTTTTGTTGCAAACATTAAAGAATCGTCATTTGACGTCAACGTTAAATTATATACAGTTGTATCGGAATTTGACGTCAACTTATGATAGTCATCATAAGCATCGCTAGACCCGCCATAAATATACCATCTTCCGTTTTGATCACTGACTGAATTTAAGCCGCGCCGTGGACTCAGTGATGCTGAAACATCAAGGGGTTTGGATAACTGATTTTGTTTTGTATCGTATTGGATAATGTTCGCAGTCGCTTTATTCTGTATAAAGTAATACAATATGTTAATATAGTCAGATTCAATTAATTTTTTGATCTTAATTAATATAATTTTTACCTCTGATGTGACGCCACCAAAATAAAAAATATTAGAGCCATTATCAACAGACGTCCCCCACGCGACAGAATAATTCAGGGAATTAATATTTATATTGTTGGAAATATTGACTAAAGAAAGATTTGACGAAAGATCCAGTATAAGACTGTCATTGACAAACGCGCCAGTTGCATCCTTCCCACCAATAATATATATTTTTTGGTTTATAAGATTCGCTGTATGTCCGTATCTTGCTACTTGTGAATTAACATTTTCAAAAGTAATTAGAGCAAAAGTAAGAAACAATAAATATCTAAAAATATTATAAATCAAATACATTATATATTATTAAAACGAAAAATTTTCTATTTTCAAATAAAAATATTTTGTAAATGATCATCAACGAGAAAAACGAATTCTTTAAAGTGCTTGCGCGCAAAACTTTTTAGCACTCCATTAATAACAAGAAATTTCCGGGGTTAGCATTCAAAAAAGCACCTATTCTTGAATTAAAAATTCACTCATTGTTTTTATCCTATTAATGATAAAATTTCCAATTAAAAGCGCTTTATTTGGTAATAACAGGTTTAGTCCTGTTTTATGTGTGTGTATGTGTCCTATTTATGTATATTTTTATGTTGTGTGCATGCGATGTTTGAACTTGTACGTGTATTGTGTCACTAGATTTTTACTTTTTATTTTATTTCCTAAAGTAGTCAACTTCATGAGTAAACTTTGGTCACACGTTCCACATCGAAAGATAGGCTATATATACATTAACATTAATAAAAACTCAGCCAGCAACGCTAATATTTTATTTACCGGAAAATTTGTCTGGTATTATATTTATATGTTTGGCAGTTTGGCAATTAAAATTTTTGAATTCCACAGTACTAAATCTATATTTAATATATAGAGAAGATGAGTTATAGTAATCAATATTTAGCATCACCACAATTACAACAATCGTCACCTAAAAATCGCTCTTTACCTCCTCCTCCTTCCGGTCCTCCTTATCAGCCGACTAATGTTAATATACAGCTTAGTAGTTCTGTTCCTACTAATAGCATAATGTCTTCTGACGTGGTTAATCCGTTCGAAAAGTCTCAAAATTTCAGTCAACTACAAATAGAAAATCAACGTCTTCGTGACGAAAATGAACGTCTTAAAGAACAGGTTAATTTGTTGTCTCTTCGTGGAGCCGGTGGCAGTAATGACTTTAATATAATAAATTCAGTTCAACTTGTTACAAATATCGCAAATCTTCGAGACATGCTAAACGAATTCACAAATTTGAAATTGGGCAATGAACTTCAAATTAATCAATCGGCCGCATTTACATTATTCCAAAAATATAATTGTAAAAGAAGTATCGAGTTTACGAAACTCTATCATCATGAAAATACTGAGATCTTCAATTCGAATTACTCGTTGGGTAATGGGTTGGACTTCAGACAGATCTTGAAATTCGCTCTTCAACGTCTCACCATTGAAACGATACTTATTAAATTGGCTAATCACATAGAATCAGTACTTTCACGAAAAATTACTCCAGCATCTCACAATGAAACTCTCGAGGCAAATCTAATCAAAATATCAAACGACTTTATAGAATATGCATATGATTTCGGCAAGTCTCGGTCTGGAACAGACGAACTGACCAAAACTCTCCCAGTGAAAATTCGTCAACAGGCAGCTACCATATTAGGTACTCGAGCATTTCACACATCTCATCCGTTTATCACGCAATTGTCAAGAGAATTACTCGAGACGATGAATCAGTATCGTAAAATTTCTAATCAACAAAAACTCCACGAAATTCAGCAAATGATACCACAACTTATTCGTGAGGTTATTCGTGTATTGGTCTTTAATTTGAGAGCGCACGACCCGTCTCCAGATGTGAAATTTTTCGAAGCTGGTGAATCAGTGGATTTGGAGCAGATGGAAGGTGCATTTGAACCTAGTGAAAGCTTGAATTATGAGGTGAGAAATCATGATATATAAATTTAGATTTTTTTCACTTACCAACATTTTTTTGAAAATCAGGTCGAAATTTGTGCTTTCCCTATTATCGGAACCGATTTAAACACTCGTAATCGTAAATTATTCAAAAAAGCTCAAGTTTATGTCGTCGAAAAAATTAGGGCAAAGGGTGTTATAACTACACTTGCCAGCAAATCAGACTGAAAAACCCATGTATAAAACGTGGTTTTTTTCAATAATCCATATAACGATAACTTATATATTTATTTAATTATAACATTTACTATTTCAAATATCTGTTATTTACAAATCAATTATTTGTAAAATACAATTAGAATCAACAAGATGTTTTAAAATGAATATCATACAATTTGTTTACGAAATACTGTGCGCTATAAGAGTTGAATTTCAAATTTTTACGGAAAAGTATTAACCGCTTTATTGTGCAAGCCAAAAAGCGCGTACATTTTTTGATACACGATAATTTTACTTTAACTCGCACTCATTTTTTGGTGTTGGCTGTGGCGCAGCAATGATCATTTTCGTAAAAAAAATCTTTTCACTTCATGAGGTGTGTTTCGGATCAGTATCCTGCTGGAAAAGAATTTAGGATATTAAGACTTTGAGCAGATATGTTGATTATTTGATTTACTATAAAATTAATAGAGTTTTACTTTTATTTGATTAGTTCTCCATAAGTGAGCCTAACAAATTTTCAATATATTGACGTAGACAGCTACGTTCATTTTGCTATCAATTTTTCGGAATTTGTTAACTCCATCAGCAGTCATGTAAACTACACCATAATCGAACCGTCAAAATTTCATTGCTGGCGTGATATGCCAGTCTCTTAAAGGTTCACATGCAAAACTGATCCAAACATCCGGTATTGCTTTCATCGGACCAGATTATTGTCGCCAATCGTCAGCCGGTATTTTTTTGCCCATTTGTGACTTTTGAACAGTAATTTTTTGCGTTTATTCTGGCGAATAATCCATTTTTTCAAGTATTCATTGTCGTACCCTCTCATGACTCGTATGTCAGTTTGGAGTTTGTGTTATGTAGAATATTCATCGGATGTTATCAATTGGGCAGCATTCGTTCGAAAGAGTGCGCGGACGATCAGGTATTGGTTTTATCTTCGAAGCGCCCAGTTTCTTCTTTCTTTTGCAAACGCATAAGACCGAACGAATCTAGCGCAACCTGTTCTGTACTGCGATTTTCTGGACCGTGTATCCTTCTATAAGAAAATCACACTACAAAATTTACATAGTTTTCCCCTGTAAAAACCCTGTAAGCCGTTACAAATTACAGGTGGTTTTTTGCAACCAAAAGTGGTCTTGGTAGGCAATTACTTTCTAATGCTAATTTTCGTTTTTCAGGTCAAGCGGGATTTTGGTTATTGAAAAAATCAACTGTAATTTGTAATGGATTACAAGGATATTACAGGTACCTCTGTAACCACCTAAAAACTCCCTGCAAAAATTACAGGTGGTGATTATAGGGGTTTAAGATCAAATCTCTCATAGGGAGTGTGTGTATATGCGAGCCTGTTTTGTGAGGCATTGAGATAGTAAAGTGACTAATACTGTTGTTAGGAAGGAAGAGATGTGTTATTTACAATTAAAAAACCTTAAAATATTTGTATTTAGCTTTTAAAACGTTAACGTTAAGATGTTCGGTCATATTTAATTGTACCCGAGAAAAAAGTAAAATTTGTTAGTACCTATCGATATTTAATTTCTCTCTTTTTATTAGTTTGTGTTACCCAAATATCTATATTGGCACATGCGTTAAAAAAAACGCATTTCATGTGAAATTTAGGGTTGTTTGATCACATGATGGACTACGCTTTAACGTTAACCACTGGGACTTGTATTACTTGCACAAATAAGTTGTTCAAATGTCATTTCGAAAAAAATCTGAATTAAAAGAAAGCTCACCAAATGCTAAATCATCAAAGAATATTCAGGCGGCACAACGTCGTCTTTCTCAGCTATCAAAATCGTTGACTCGAGATCTTTCGATTAACAATGATGATAAGAGTAATGAAGATGAAATTAAAAAGCATGGTTTTTTTAAGTCAGACAATCGTAGTAAAATTGGTACATGTATTTTTTGGTTGTGTTTTAAAACTCTCGCCAGATCATGTTGTTCAATTTTTATTTAAATAAATGTAATAGGTTATACACTTCGTATCGGAGATATTTCGATAGTCATTAAGCCTTCGCTAAATCCAGAATTGGTGCCTAATTTTAGGAATCCATTTTATGACGACTCACAGGTAAAGATTAGATACATGTAATTAAAAAATAAAAATAACGTTAATTTCTTATTGAGATTTATTATCTAGGAAATATTAAGACATTTAAGATGGTAAATAGAAATTAAAAAAACTTCAATATGAAGAGCAATTTTTTAATCACAATTCTAATATAACTAGGATAATGCAAAAAGATAAATTAGGACAAGATATATTTCTTATTGGGTAAGCTCAACCACTCATAGCATTGAGAGAATCTTAGCGTTAGCATGATATTGAAAATTTAAAATTTAGACCACCAGGACATATACGACGTGGCCTAATTTTAAAATACGCAAATCTCACAAACCGTGAAATAGAATACGTTACACTCTCGAAAGACTGCACGGACTCAGACCTAAAGCAACGTCGCGAGATCTCGGCCGGAACAGCTTATTACGTAGACCAAGCATGTGTCCGTGCGGCCATCTACGGTCGAATTCTGATACTTGATGGAATAGAAAAAGCTGAAAGAAATGTCCTCCCGATTTTGAACAATCTTTTAGAAAATCGTGAAATGTCATTAGAAGATGGTAGATTCTTGGTGCACCCGAAGCGCTACGATTCTCTCTCAAAAAAAAACAAAAAAATGGAAATGGACAATTGGAAGTTGGTACGAGTCGATGATCGGTTCTTGGTCGTCGCTTTGGGTGTACCTGTTCCGCCGTATATCGGTCACCCACTAGATCCTCCACTGCGTTCGCGATTCCAGTCCCGAGATGTTAAACAACCTGGATTCGAAACTCAGGTGCATCATTTGAGCAAGATTGCGCCGAACGTTTCGATTACTGTGTTGGAACGCTTAGTTTCTATTGCAATAGTGCTTTCGAATTTGGCATTTAATACTGAAGGAGGAATAACGATACCAGAATTCCCGATTTCGATCGAGTCGAGTGTCTTGATTCTTCAACAATTTCCAGCAATTAAGCTTCGTTTTCTTTTGGATATTCTTTATCCGTGGCCTTTGTTACCAATATGCGAAATTGAACAACGAAAGGTTATCGAAACGACTTATCATCGATTTGGAATACTTGAGTCTTATAGCACCGAAAATACCGGCGTTGAGAAAGATAAGGGATTGAAAGAAAATAATAACGAAGATGAGAGCCAGCAAATATTTCAAGCAACATCTGGATATAAAGTCGCCGAAATAAAGAATATTGATGAAATTGATGTTAAAGCATTTAATGGAAAACGAATCTACAAAAAAGAACTTACATTTCACGAAGAAACTGATGTCTCGAAAAAAGCTTCTGTAAAATTGGCCGGAGGTTGTGAGACACCAACAACAGCAGAATTTTTCGTCGAAACTAAATACCATCTAAACATATTAGCTGCGATGCTTATTGCGCATTCTACTGGTGACTTCTGTTTGATAGGTCAAAAAGGTGTAGGAAAGAGTGCGTTAATCCGGAGTTTCGCAAAAAATTTAGGGTAAATTTTTTCTCATACAATGTATTTGAATAATCGCTAACGACAATTAAAATATTTAATATTGTAGATACACAATTGAATTCATTCCTCTTTACAAAGACATGTCTTCCCGCGACCTACTACAACGTCGAGGTACCACATTCTCTGGTGACACTATTTGGGAGAACTCTCCACTCGTAAAAGCAGCTATTAATGGAAGCTTAGCTGTTATGGACGGCATCGAAACGCTTTCTTTTGGTACATTAACCACGCTACAACGTCTAATTAAAGAGCGCGAAATGCCTTTACCCGACGGAAAACAATTAATTAGTCATGAACGATACCAGAATCTAGTTCAAAATCATGGATTCACTCCTGAAATGTTAGCTGATCGTGGTATACTTTCTGTTAATCCGTCGTTCCGAATTGTGGCTTTAGCGAGGCCAGTCAGTATTAGCGGAATTGAAGGAAAATCTGGCGCCTGGCTTTCTTCTGAAATTTGTGCCATGTTTCAGTTTATTGCTGTTAGACCCCTTGAATACCATGTAAGATTTAGTAAACTTTGATTCTCTGAGTTGCAGGAAAAAATATTTATTTGTTATGGGATAATTTAGGAAGAGGCTGAAGTTTTACACGCCTTGTCTCCCGGAATTAATGAAAAGAGTCTTGAGCTTCTTTTACGTTTTGCTAATCGACTTAGGCAGGATAAAGATGAGACAATAAAGATTTTATCTGACGCGTTTTCTACACGGTATTGTCTTGCATTGAAAATAAGCACTTATTATAAACTGCAAAACTCATAGGAAATGTTGTACTATTTTAGACAATTAATTCGAATTTGTCGTCGCATAACTGCGTTTCCTGATGAAAGCTTATACGATTCCATTCACAAAGCAGCACTCTCGCGATTTTTACCATCACTTGTTAAAGAAGCTCTCGAGGAACTAATGATAGAAAATGGGATCACTCCTCCAAGTATAAAGCCAGAAATTGAAACAGTATGTTATATGGATGTATTTCATTCGATTTGAAAATATTGACAATGTTTATAATTTTACTACTAAAGCTGAAGATTGAAGTCATCCCCTCTTTCGCAAATCCCGAGTACCTTCAAATCGGAAATGTAATACAACCGATTGCCAGAGACTCGAATCCGTTACTTATTCCAGACATTTTATTTCACGAGAACCCGAAGCAGACTGAAATTTTGATGCAGATGCTGAAAGATTATCAATTAGGTACGAAAATAATTTAAATGTGAATGAAAATAACACGAATTAAAAAGTGGATTGTAATTTTTTCGATGTTTAGGCGAGAATTTGTTGTTGATTGGAAACCAAGGAGTCGGAAAAAATAAATTAGCTGATTACTTTTTACAAATTTTGAAATTACCTCGAGAATATATTCAACTTCATCGGTATGAAATATTTGGTTAAATTATTAGCACGCTCATTGGAATATTAAATTTATTTATGATTTGAAATAGAGATACTACCGTACAAAGTTTAACAGCCACTCCTTCGATTATTGATGGTGTTCTCCAATATGAAGATTCTCCATTAGGTTTGGAATTTTTATGTTTATTAAAAATTACTATTTCTATGATTTATTAAATATTTTAAATCTTAATAGTGAAAGCTGTAAAATCAGGTAATTTTTCAAAGTACATTTTTATTATTTTTATTCTTTGAAATTACCGAAATAAATTTGCTTCATGTCATAAAAAGGCTACATTCTTGTAATTGACGAAGCCGATAAAGCCCCGACATATGTTACAGCAGTTCTCCGTAACCTTATCGAAGACGGTGAAATGGTATTAGGCGATGGTCGACGTATTGTTTCTCGAGCTTTTGAAAAATTAGAAAATGATGATGAAGATGAGAAGTATATTCTCGTTCATAAAAATTTTAGAATAATTGTTTTGGCAAATAGGCCAGGTTTTTGTCCTTTATCAATGATAGTTTTGAACTTTATTCAGCTTTTTTTTTTACTGAAACTTTTTATATTTGATAGGTTTTCCGTTTTTGGGTATGTCTTTATTTTTAAATTTTCGAGTTTTGTGGATTATTAATCACAATACAACATTGTTAAGTTGATTTCATTCGATAAACAACAGGAAATGACTTTTATCGTGAAATCGGTGATGTATTCAGTTGGTAAATGTTTAATTATATTTCTTAGTTTTGGAATAATATCAAAAAGTTTCCATACTATCGAACGAATTTTTTGCACTAGTCACGCAGTAGATAATCCAGATCCTGCATCAGAAATGTATCTACTCCGAAAATACGCGCCAGACATTTCTGAAGATTTACTGTTGAAACTTACAGCAGCATTCAGCGATCTGAGACGACTAGTCGACGAAGGGCTGATTTCATATCCTTATTCAACTCGTGAGCTCGTCAATATCGTGAAACATATGCAGGTTTTACAGATTTCAGGCTGAATAGTCTTAATTTTGTTTGAAATGAATCTTGAATTCATTTTGTGTTTTTAGCAATATCCCAGCGAAGGTGTCTCTAAAGTTATTCAAAACGTGTTCGACTTTGATCAATACGATAAAAACTCAAAAGCGCTTTTAATTGAGGTTTTTCAGAAACATGGAATTCCAATTGGATTAGACTCCGAATTGTCTGTGCAACTTGGTAAATTTGTAACATTGAGTAAACCAATTGTCACTGAAATTTGGACCAAAATAATTGCCTCTGAGAGATCTCTTCAAGTTAGAGACAATAAGATCGAGTTTCAGGTTTGATCTGTTTTGGAATGATTAACAAAATGTCACGTTTTGCGAAATTAATAAAATTATTTTGGTTGTAGGGTGGCTGGGAATTTCACATGAAAAAGGCTAAAGAGCTTGAGCGAACTGAAGGTTTATTATTTATAAATTTCCTGGGAAATTTTTCATATTACATGTATTGCTCATTTGATTTTATTTTAGGTCGCACAACGACATTTACCGAACAAATATACAGTTTTAAAATTCCTACACGTGGCGAAGCATTAGATATCGTTGGGTTGGAAGATGGATCTCTTTTTGCTGTCACTACCAACCCCGTAACATTACATTACATCGATAAGGAACATCATCTAAGTAGAAGCGTTGAATTGTACGAATTTTTCCCGCTTAAAGACGGTAAAAATTGTATTTTTTAATTCTTTTTCTATGAAATGAATCGATAGTATGCTAAAAATAATATCTTTAAAATTCGATCAGTCCCTCCACAAATAAAACTTGCGATTGTTCAAGCTTATGGTTCGGCGTGGTTTTTGACTTTACATGATCCCGAGAACAATTCCGTAGTCGCTATGGATTATGATGGAGGCACAGTCAATTCAATTGAAGTATGCTTTTTGATATTTTTTTTTGTGCTTTTTATTCGGGTATGTTTGAGAATTATTTTTTCTTGGTTGATAGTTGACTGGACTTGCTAAACAAGCACGGAAAATTATGCTGAAAGATTTCGCGTCGCTTGGAATTTTAGGTGAATACCTATTCTCTCGAATATTTGGCTTGTATTAGATTAAATTGGTTGAATAACGATATTTTTTATTTAAAAAAACAGTATTTTATCAATTCTTTAAATCTTCGATTGTTATACTGGACTTCAACGTCAATACTGAGTATATAATAACACTGCCTATAAACGGTATTTGTTAAATACTTTTAACCTCTATTTTTTCAATGCGTAACTACTTAAAGACTAAGGAAATGCTTATGATTACAGTTGCTCAGCTTTATTTGCTAAAACCGGACGTATGGCTCGTTCGTGATTGCGAGAGAGGCTCTTACCACATTATTTACCCTGCAGCTGGGAATATTGGATGGTAAATAAAATTTTTATATCGTTTTTTATTACTGAGCTGGATAATACATGTTATAATCTATTAATTTTTTAGGCTTCCGAATGTAATCGAGCAAATAGAGATTAAAAATTTGTTGGCTAATTCACCACATCAGCCGATTACTTTTGTGTCTAAGGATGGAGTTCCTAGAGCAAATGTGTAACGTATAATTTTTTATCGCCGCCGTTAATACCATCGCTGTTTTGAATGAACTTAGATTACTAATAATATCGAAACATTAGTTCATCAGCTCGGTTCCTACACACCAAAAACGAATCCTTTGCTTTATCAATTGCTTCTAATCTCCCGGAATCACTAATCTCAAATGAAAATGATATAAATCCAATCGAGGTAGTTTCATATATACGTGAACCGGAGGATAGTGCATATAATCTTTTTGAAAATATAGGTATTTCTTCACTGTTTTTGGCTCGGACTGGGCAATTGGCGACTTTAATTCCGATGAAGGTAAGTTTTTTGAAGTTCTCTTTATTATAAAATTGGCTCTAAAAAATTGTTTGATTTTTTTTTCGTGTTTATAGGACGGGCGGAATATTGGGCATTTGGAATTATTTAACCCAATACAACAGACACTCTGGCGAATTGTAGTACCATTAGCGATTCCTGTTTCTTTTGCAGAAAAAAGGTAAAAATATAAAACCTTATTTTTAATTTAGCATTAGTTAATATTTATTTTTATTATCATTATACCAATATGTAAAGTAAGTTCAGTCAAGCAGGTTTAGAATTGCAACCAACAGCAGCATTATTACTGGAGTTGCCAAGTGGGGATTTACTGACAATGGATAATAGTGGTTGGTAATATTTTTCAAAAAAATTTAATGCCAAGAATAATAGACAAATATAATCAATTTAAATTTTCAGGTGTTGTGCGTGTATGGCAAGTTAACGCGGGAGAATTGATTCGTGCAGTAGATACTTGGAAGAAATTTACTGGTGTGCTGGATCAACATGTATTATCCATAATATACGAAACAGACGAGGTAAAATGTTATTTAACATATTTTCGCGAATAAATTTAGTTAATATGTTTCTTATTTTAGATGCAAGAGGAAAATTTAGCAGATGAAAACAAGTCGGGTTTTGGAATTGGTAAATCCGAAGGCAGCCAAAAGATGGGTAGTGGTGAAGTCTCCGGAGAAGGGAAGGGTGAAGGCTCTGGAGAAGGATCAGGAGGTAGTAGTCAAAATATTGAAGAATTCAAAGGCAGAGAGCCGACTTTTATTGATGTGGACAATTTGAATCTGGTAAAATTTTTAATTTAATAAAATTTTGCGCTTTTTTTTTAAACGTTTTTTTTTACTTTTGTAGAGAGATGAAGCCAAATCATCTTTAGAGCTGACAGAAGCACAAAAGTAAGGTTAACTCTTTATACATGTATAATTAAAATTTCTCTTTGCGAATATGATTTTAACTATTTTCCGATCAAACAGAGAAATGCATGCACTAGCTATGCGCCAACGCCTTGATCAAATAAAAATGACACAATCCGATTCCGACATATACCGTAACTATTTAGCAAACGTACAACGCGAAATACGCGAACTTCGCGTGGTTCTTGAGAGTGTCGAAGCGAAGAAAAAAGAACGGGTTTGGTTGAAAAACCAGAGTTCTGGTGATATTGATGATACGAAATTGTATGTTTCGTGAATTTTAAGCATACCCTGTTGTTGTATAATCTTTTATGGTTAATTTTTTTGTCATGTTATTTGAATAAGGATTGAAGGAATAACAGGCGACTATAATATTTATAAGCGTCGTGGTGAAAATGATCCAGAGATTGGATTCTTTCAGGAGAAACCTAAGAAAATGTATTTTGTGTTTGATTTGAGCGCCAGGTAATTAAATTAAATTCTTCGATACTAAAAATGAGCTGATAAATTTAATACTTTAATAAAAATAACAGCATGTTCCGATTCAATACACATGACCGCCGTTTGGACCGATCAATTGAAGTAGCGTTAAGTCGGTTCAGTTTCATAATTTTATATCTGATTTTGATAAAAATTGTTATTAAATAAAAATTTCTAAAAAATTTAGTGATAATGGAATCATTCAAATCTTTCGAAAATAAATTCGAATATCGTATTCTCGGACATAGCGGCGATTCGCCAAATGTTGAATTTGTCACGCGTGAAAAATACCCAAAAACTGAAAAAGACATTTTCAAAGTTTTGAAAGAGATGTTTACGCATTCACAGTTTTGTCTTTCTGGAGGTTTTATTTGTTTCTTCCATTTTCTTATCCAACCTTTTTTCGAGCTATTGTTGATTTTATGATGATACAAATATAGATAATACGTTGAATGCCACCTCACACGCCATAAAAGATATTGTTAAAGAGCAAGCCGACGATTACTTTGTTGTCGTGCTATCAGATGCGAATATATTGCAGTATCATATAAAGCCGGGTGATATTGCTAAAGGTTGGTTGGTTATTATTAATGATTTTCAAGCTATATTTACAGCATATTTAATAGATAATACCTGCTTATAGTACTGAAATCAGACGAAAGAGTATCAGCATTCATGATATTCATTGGCTCGTTACAGGATCAAGCTGAAAAGTATCTATCTAATACATGTATTTTCTTAATATTAAATATGACACTCGAATTTGAATTAAATCAATTGTAAACAAATATTCACTTATTAGGCTCCGAAAGAATCTTGCGGGACATGCACACATTTGTATGGAAAACTCGGAACTACCGCGTATTATGAAATCTATTTTTTTGTCGTCAATGTTAAAGTGAGATTAGAATAAATATGTAGAGTTTAATGATTTAGAAAAAGCTACATGTATTTATTTGATTAAATAAAATGTATTTATTTTGATTAGATAAAAACAGTAATCATCATTACTAACGCTAATGTTGGTAGCCGAAAACTTACATATACACGGCTTGACAAAGTATCCGGAAAACTAAAAACTTAAAACACCGATTGTAGCACGCCCATACATCCAATTTTATTGTAATTTTTTTATTGAGTGCGCCTAATTTTCTAGTTTTTAGAAAACAATTAATAGCGAAATTTAATTAAAAATATAGTGCTTTTACCTATTTTAGCTATCAACTATCCAAATTATTTCATCCTTCTACTTCGGAAATATATTTTTACTTTTAAAATGATCATTTTTGAGTAATGTCTAAAAAGCTCAGAGCCTAGATTTTGAATGTGAAAAAAAACAATGAGAAATTAGCAAAACATTAAGTCATTCTAAATTCAAAGATGATAATGTAATAAAACACAAAGATCAAATCACTTCAATATCATATACTTATAGATTTAAAATATATTCATGAACAGATTATTAAATTTTAATTTGTAACAAATTAATTAGATTAGTTCATAGATCGTGCAGCGCCACAATACTACTCTACACTGATTTACTGCGCCACGATCACCCGATAATGCCAAGACAAATCACATGATTACCTGAGTTATTTTTATCTTAGAAAATATTCTTAGTAGAATTTTTATTATCTTTTTTGTTAAAATAGTTAAATATACTATTTTTTTCTATTTATTATTTATAATATTATTTTTAGTAAATTTATATATTAATAAGTATCTTTTAAAAATATTACTATATAAATATTTATATATTATAAATTATTTATTTAAAAATACTATTTCTATTTTATATTTTTAATATAGTCTAATATAAAGAAATTCATATCTTAATATAAAAGATTATAATTTTATAATATTAAAGTCATATATAATAAATCAAATAAATTTATTTTTATATAATAATAATATTATATATAGATGTATTTTTTTGTTAGATTCAAATAGATAGTTTACATATAAAATATAATAATATACTACTAATTAATAATAAAAAATGAATAATAATTAATATTTATTATACTTTTCTGAAATTATCTTTATAAATAATAAGAATTAAAGCATAATATTATATAAGTAGATTGTTCTAATTCTAAGAATTGCTGAGAGTACAATTAGATTAATATTATTTGACTGAAATTAATATAATAATAAGATATTTATATTATATAAAAGTTTTAAATTATCTAAATTATAACTAAATAAAAATATTAAATTACTTTTATATATATATATATTATTAAAAATAATAAGATAAAGTAATAACTTTCTATATCTTTTTTATAATAGTTTTTTTTCAAATATAAATATATAATTTTCAAGTTATAACTTCTCTAAATATTAAAAAACTTGAAATATTATTATAACTGAAAAGAGTAAAGAAATATTTTTTATAAATTATTAAATAATGTAATAATTTTGATTGGGTTATCTTCTTTTAGATCTCTTTTAGTTTAGATCTTTATTTTGCGCTATCTGTATAACAGATTAGCTTTGTATTACATTTTTAAGAAGATCATTT